ACATATACTGTATAGTTACACATCAAATATATTTCAATAGTAAATAGAAAGTAGACAGGTAGTCTGTAGGAGAGGGTTAGAGGTACATATCACATTCAATAATTATGTTAATGAAATATGAACCAAGTCACACACTAACTACACTATACTACCAATAGTATATAGTACTCACTAATAGCCACGCCCAGTAATTACCACGCCCACTACATGCAAAGTGACATGAACTAAATTAAGAAAGTGATTTATAAAATGCTTTATAGTTAAAAATTAATATTAATAGTGTAAAATTATGAAACAAGCAGGAGCTAAATCTTCCATTGCTATATACAAACTTAATATAGCACTATAGCATAGTACATACGTACATGTACATGTACATGTATTGCATAGCGTTAACATTATTTTATACATGTACATGTACATGTATATCTTTCCTGTGAAATGGACTATAGCTACATGTAACAAGGTTAAATGGTTTAGTGATGTTTGGAGTTTAAGGCAAAGGATGAACTATAGAAGGAGAAGGAACAACAAAAAACAAAGACCAAAAACCAAATAATAAAATACTAATAATAATTATTAAATATATAGAAGAAGTGGATTACAGTGTAGCCTCTATATAATGTACTAATATGTACATGTACATGTATTTTACTCACACATGTGACTATAATTGACAAAAAATACCATATGGTGAATAGTTAAATTCATCTTCATATTGGAAAAAATCCAACATTCTAAACCATGGTACAGAAATTTTTCAGAATTTTGGCATTTTTTAAAATGGCTGTAACTTGAAAAATTGAAGTCGGAATCAGCTTAAACTTTCTACACAGCATAAGGACATTAATATGTATCAGAAAATGTAATAAAATTTTGGAGTAATATATATTATTACGTATTATTACGTACATATTAGTGCGTCACAGTATCGGTCCAGTTCTGCCTTTCCCTCACTCTCCGTTGGTTCAATCATCAGAGTATTACTAACTGGCCAGGATACTGTAGGGGCATGGAACCCTGGGGAGGGAGAGAAAGAAGAGATTCATTTACATAATGTATATATTGAAATGAAAATTAAGTAATATATGTATCACTTAATTTTAGTTTAAATTTTCTGGAGCTAGAGCTAAAATACTGTATACATGTACATGCTTTACTTATTAATTTAAAATTATTAGACTTTCAAAAAATTTAAATTTATTATAATTATTATTATAAAATTCGTGAAATCTGTAAACATAAAGTAACAGAAAAATATCCAGAAATGACTTTATTTTTCTCTTTTTCTTTTCTCTTACCATAGTCCTGCATTCTCTTAGCAATGTCAATAGCTTCAATGCCACTAGTGTTCTTAAAGCATCTGGTATCTAGTATAAACTCATGAGCATTGAACCCTAATAATAATAATAATAATAATAATAATAATAATAATAATAATAATAATAATAATAATAATAAATAATAATGATAATTTTACTTAAGTAATATGCATCAGAAAATGAAATAAAAATTGAGGGTGATTTTTGCAGCCATTTTTTACAGAAAACCATGGGCTATAGTACAAATTTTTCAGATTTTGGTCAATTTTTAAAAATGGTTGTAACTTGAAAAATTTAAGTCGGAATCAGCTCAAACTTTCTACACAGCATAAGGACATCAATATGTATCAGAAAATGTAATAAAAATTGGAGGGGGGGGGGGTGATTTTTTAGCCATTTTTCGGAAAAACCATGGGCTATAGTATGGGGATTTTTTCAGATTTTGGCCAATTTTTAAAAATGGCTGTAACTTGAAAAATCTAAGTCGGAATCAGCTCAAACTTTCTACACAGCATAAGGACATCAACATGCATCATAAAATGTAATAAAAATTGGGGGTGATTTTTTAGCCATTTTTTGGAAAAAACCATGGGCTATGAGTACAGGGATTTTTTCAGATTTTGGCCAATTTTAAAAATGG